ACACAAGAAATTAAGCAAAGTGCACAAATGAACCTCATGATGGTACAGGGTTAATAAAATAATTTTTGGTGTAACCTTTCTATGTCTGCAATATTCAAGAAAAAATGTTGGGCAAAGGACATTACACTTTTTACACTTCACCCAGAGTCCTTGCTTTTCTGTTACTGTGAAAGAAATGTCAGTCAAATTAATATTGGTGGAACTTAGTATAGGCAGCCAGAAGTACCTGGAGATACATGTGCTTGTAAATGTTCCCCCTCTATGATGTGTAAAATGTAAGGTGGCTGGAAAAAGCAAGCACTTCACATGTTAGAGGTATTGATTCTTTTCAATAAAACTAGCTTCTTAAAAGGCCTAGACAAAATCTAAATTGTGCTGTACATACGCACACCTGATAAAGAACAGCTTTACCCCCAAAGAGTGCAGGAGTCTAGGCAAGCACAAAAGACTGAAGTTCAACAGAGCAGTGTTAGTTATCTCGAGCCTGTAAGCATGTAGGTGCAAACTGTCTTAAAATACCTGAAGAGTCTCACAGGTGCTCACAAAGCCAGCAGTGGTCTAACACCCAGCACATGTTTCCATGGATGTATAGTATTGAGGACAGTTCCAGATGCAGAGATATTTACTTTCCTTATGGCCATTGTCATTGCTTGGAGAGTGAAGCACAAACTACTTGCATGGATCAGGGAGTACACAAAATTTACCTTTCCACACAGCTGTTTTGGCAGTGCAAGGAATTTTTCCCCTGACATAGTCACATCTTCTTTAACACATTATGTATTAAACTGCTTCAGAAAATATGTATGAAACTTCACCCATCACTACAATCCTTCAAGCTCTGCATCTGGGGGCTAGATTTCCTAGTCACGTAAGTTCACTTAAAACAGAGATAAGAGAAGATTAAGAACAAGAAAAAGGGCAGCTCCCAGAAAAGAAAATTCAATTCCTCCAAAGGATCTATAAAGCTGGAGAAAGGCATATAAACTCATCCATACAGTCCCTGGAAACTGAGTCTCAGAGCACTTGGAGACAGTGGAATCAGAACTACTACCCATCCACCTCCTCTTTTTTTTTTTCCTATCTTTTTTTTTTCCCATCTTTTTTTTTCCCCAGCCTGTGTGCTGCAGCTTATTTGTCTGACAGTTACCTTGTACTTGGCGCTGTGGTAGGCAAAGGTTATTTGAATTCATATGCAAAGTTCAATGAATATATAATTAAAAAAATCCCTCAGAGACATTGCTGAAATGAGATGCCCAATCCCAGAATTTGTATCTTTATGAGGAAAGTTTGAATACAAAACACCAAGGTTTATGGCTCTTGCAGATATTAATTCATACCAATCCATGTTCTAAGAGGACTAAAGGGGCTATTTTTCATCTTGGGCTGAGACAGGAACTCTTCCAGATTTACTGACTTGCTGTGAGAAATATACGTTATCAGGCTGATAGATATCTTTAAAATGTAAATCAGAATGGTGAGCTTATCACACAGCTGCCTTTAGCAGTCCACAAAATTATTAGTGTTGCAGGTCACAAGAGATTTTGGGAACAAGGTGAGTAAACTGGTCATCAAAACCAGACCTAAACTCAACACTTTATTTTCTGTCTTGTATGAATTTTCCCAGAACTGAAATCAAAACAATTTCTATTATACATCCATCCCCTTGGCAACTAGCAATTACCATGACTTTGTGGGAAGGTCTAGATCTTAAAACATATTATAATTTTGCAGACGCAAGAAATACATTGTTGCCTGGCATCATCTCTGAAATTGTTCAAGGCCAGTTTGGATGGAGCTCTGAGAAACCTGGTCTAATGGAAGGTTTCCCTGCCCATAGCATGAAGGTTGGAACTAGAAGATCTTTCAGGTCCTTTCCAACTCAAACCATTCTATGATTCTATTATTCTTTGGCCCAGGTGCTTTTTCTGTCTGGAGATAAAAGGGAAAATCCTCTTCCCTATGAAAATCCCAAATGTTCTCCCTAAGGAACCCTGTCCACTTCTGTTCTCTCCAATGTCCTATAGGCAGCCCTTTGGGTTTGTACCCTATTTGTTGTATTGTAAACTGGTCACTTCGGTATTATATTGCAGAGAAATCCAAGGCTCAGCAGCTTGAAATAGCAATGCTAGTGAAAGATCTCAAAGGCTAGAAATTTCCTCTGCAGACAAACAATATTTGCATTAATACTTTCAAACACATTCAATAACTGGAATGACAATGGCCATGTTATTTACATACTAGTAAGGCTGTTACCGTTTTGTCCTCTTGCTGGTAAAAGCACATACTGCACTCTGTGCCTTTTCTCTGCACACGTGCAAGCATACACAGGCAGATGATGTGCTTTTGAACCATCCACAGATGGTTTCTCCATCAGGGTTTACTTTGCCATTTAGGCCTTCTGCTTCACATCCTCCTCTTGGTGCTTCAGTCCCTATTTTCTGTAATTAACTTCTGTTCCTCCCCCCATTTTTTTTTTCATGAATGCTTTTCACTCTGATGCTTAGAGTCAACCATCTCCCCAAAGCACTGTGATATTTAACAGCATCCGGAAAAAATGTGGTTAGAGAATTGAGACACTTAAAGGAGACGCTGCTGTTGTAAGTGTGCATTCACATTTTTGAATAGATATTCAGAGGGTGGGAATGTAGATGAGGGAGAAGCTATGAAAGGGCTTATTACTAATTAACTGTATCTATTTCTCCCCCTTGTAAACTGCTTTTTGTTTATCATTTCAGCTGGTGGGTTAATACACTAAATTAAAGCTGCAGAACACAATTATAATTAAGATTGAAAAAGCCAATTGACTGTTAGTAAACTACCAATTGATAATAATGTAAGGGATATTTATAGCCCTTTGCTAAGTATGCCACAGATTTGCATCAATAACACACTTGCTAATCTCCAAACATTTTATTCAGTAGCCTTTTATTTACTATTGAAGGTAAGATTACTCTTCTCAAGCCATCCTTTCTACTAGTGTCTTGCTTTCATCTTGTTTGCAGAGTTCAGCAAACACAGATGCTTCAGTCGTTTCCTTTCCTATGAAATAGTAATAACAGTATATAATTACTAGCATCACACGATACAGAAAACCTTGCTGTAAAGAACATGCTATATATAGTTCAGCACTCATAGCATCTTGCATTTATACAGCTCTTTCTTTCTGACTCATCTCACATATTCTAAAGAGGACATAGCAAACCACTCTACCCAGGAGAGGAATCAGGAACCTTTGAGCAGAGCCCCAAACACAGGGCCCTAGTTGCATAACTTGTTTCAGATGTGTGATGAAGTGTAAATAGTTGTGATGTAACTTTTTTGTGAAATGCATATCTTGTGTTGTCATATGAGTTTGAGTGGCCTCATAGTACTATTTTTTCAAGCCATTATGAGATACTGTGTCATATCCCTGTGTACAGCAGATATAGACCCAGCTTAGACACTGATGACTGCCTGCCATAAACTGCTTAGGTGCTGCAGGGACAACTGATTAACATGAGGATGTCTCATCCCTTGTGTTTCAAGAGCCATGACTGCTCTTGAAACACAAGTGCCAAAAACCTGCAAAGCGTATGAACACCTGTGTGATTGAGAAGTGATATGGTGTATACCAAGGACAGTGATGCAAATTTATATGTGGATGTAAATTAAACAGAGGCAAAATGGCCACGTTGAAAATTGCAACCTGAATTGTGCCTGTAGCTACTGCCACAGATGAGGGTCTTGGAGACTAGAGCACCCCATCTTAGCAAAAACCCTGCTAGATCCCATATGAAAGTATAGCTCTCTGTTTACCTGATCTTTTCCTCAGAGGAAGAATGAGGGTTAGAAGTGAATGATCTGCCCATTCCTCAGTCCTGCTTGCTAGCAGGGTCTGGGAAAGGAAGAGACAGAAAGAAAGTAAGTTTACCTATGAGCTGCACATGTAGGAAGAATGCCAGTAAACCTATATCAGTAGATACTCTCAAAACTCAAGCAGAGCTTCAACCTCCCCCAGACACAATTGGACCTCTGATCCAGCCTGTTAATACATTTCATTTGTTCTTCAAATACACATACCTTACAGTTTAAGCTGGAAAGGCATGTGAGAGCTGAAAAATAAAAGGGGGAAATAATGATGCAAGGAGGAATGAGCAGGATGCAACAAAGGGCCATGGAGGCAGGCAGGGGCTTCACTGTCAATGCAACAAAAGGGGTTGCAGAGTGGGAGCATGAGGTTGTCAAAAAGAGCTTGCCAGGAGCCTAAGGTTTCCTCTGGATCCTTTATCTTTGGAGCTAGATGCTGTCATCCTTTCCACAATTTGGCTGAGCAGAGGATGAATTCAGGTGACAATTATGCAAGTGATTTCTGCTTCCTATACTGTCTATCATTAATTTTATTAAGGGTGGGCAAGTGACTCCCCCTAGAACTGGTCAGATAATTACATGGTCATTACTCACCACATTACGAAAGGGTAAATGTGCAGTTATTTTTATCCATAAAATCAGCTGCTTCAACCCTAAGACTAATTCCACATTATTATGCAGAAATGTGTAATTACTATACATACTGCTTCTAGCTCCTACCCTCAAAAAAGAAGACACTATTCCAAATGAAACCTTTCAGGATATAAAGTAAGCCATGAAATCTGATGGTAGGGTTTGTCCTCTACCAACTACTCAATAAAAATTATAAAATGTAACTAGAAAATAGGTAGTCACAAGACCCTATTTCCTATCTTGTTCAGATTTGGAACCATACCAAACCAACATTTTTTTTTCATTTTTTTTTTTTTTTTTAAAGAAAGAAATATATTATCTGGAGAAACTTGTTCCTATGACACTTAATCTTCCCATCCCAGAGTGCTGATGCCTTTAGCTGTCACTCCTGTGAGGAGGCATCACAGTCTCTCTAGAGGCAGAAGATAGGTATAACATAAGAGGAAATGCATTTATGTCATACCTGCTGATGTTTCTTGTAACTCTTTCCATTTTTTTCAGGTACTGTTGCGTGATTTACAATGGAAAAATTGCTCTGCAGCATCCTGGTGTTTGGAATGGCTGTCACAGTCAATGCTTGTCCCAAATATTGTGTCTGTCAGAACCTGTCTGAGTCACTGGGGACTTTGTGTCCCTCCAAGGGTCTCCTTTTTGTACCACTGGACATAGATCGAAGAACTGTTGAACTCCGTCTTGGGGGCAACTTTATTATTAATATCAGCAGACAAGATTTTGCCAATATGTCTGGACTTGTTGACCTTACTTTGTCCAGAAACACCATCAGTTACATACAGCCCTATTCATTCACCGACTTGGAGAGCCTTCGGTCTTTACATCTGGACAGCAACAGGCTACCTGACATTGGAGAGGATATTTTGAGAGGCTTAATTAACCTTCAGCATTTGATTTTGAACAACAACCAGCTAAGCAGCATTTCTGATGAAGCCTTTGAGGATTTTTTGCTGACGTTAGAAGACTTAGACCTTTCCTACAATAACCTCCGAAGCATTCCCTGGGAATCTATAAGAAAGATGATAAACTTGCACCAGCTCAGTTTAGATCACAACCTGATAGATTATATTACAGAGGGGACATTTGCAGATCTTCAGAAATTGGCCAGATTGGATCTAACATCCAACAGACTTCAGAAGCTCCCCCCTGATCCTATATTTGCCAGATCTCAAGTAATTCCATTAGCTGTTACCCCATTTTCTCCACCTTTGTCTCTCAGCTTTGGGGGCAATCCACTGCATTGCAACTGTGAGCTACTGTGGTTAAGGCGACTTGACAGAGATGACGATATGGAAACTTGTGCTTCTCCTCCAGGTCTAAAGGGAAGGTACTTCTGGTATGTACGGGAGGAAGAATTTGTTTGTGAGCCTCCTCTTATTACACAACATACTCACAAGTTGCTGGTTTTAGAAGGGCAAACTGCCACACTGAAATGCAAAGCCATTGGGGATCCCACTCCCATCATTCATTGGGTGGCCCCCGATGATCGTCTCATTGGAAACTCTTCGAGGACAGCTGTCTATGACAATGGCACCTTAGATATACTCATCACCACCTCCAAGGATTATGGAACTTTCACATGCATAGCAGCCAATGCTGCTGGAGAGTCCACTGCAACAATTGAGCTCTCAATTGTTCAGCTCCCCCATCTCAGCAATGGCACAAGCCGAGCAGCTCCACCAAAATCCAGGCTCTCGGACATCACCAGCTCCACAAAGTCTAATCGTGGGGAAACAAAAGGCCCACCAGAAAGGGCTGTCCTGGTGTCAGATGTGACCACTACCTCAGCTTTGGTCAAGTGGACAGTGAGCAAGTCAGCCCCTCGGGTAAAAATGTATCAACTGCAGTATAACTGCTCAGATGATGAAGTCCTGATCTACAGGTAAATGCAGTTGTTGTTTGATCCTCTGATGATGGCAGGGGGTGGAAGTCTTTTACTCTAAGTTCACTGAGATAGTGCTGCCAACAGTAGCATTAGTGGTGTCTGAAAAATTTGCTTTCTATCTGTCAGTTTGCCTGTTGTTCTGTTCACTGCTTTTCTGTCTAAGCCATACATTTCAAATCTCTGTAGTATTCATTCTCTAGCAACAGCTGTTTTCAGTAAAATTTCCAATTTAGGAAAAAAATAGTGCCACAGTTAGTAACCTCCTTACTAGGCTTAACAAAGAAAGGAAAACTTGGAGACTAGAAGTCAGAAATTTCCCTTTCCACCTCCTGTAGGTGGGATTGAAACATACTACGGAGAGAGGAAGCAATGTGGGAGGAAGTTTGTGCTGTCTACCCATAACACAGGCTCTAATTATTCTGTGATTCAAGATTTGAAGTTGTTAACAAGTGATTTTTCACCTATATGAAAGAGTTCATTTCTTACTTCACTAACATCTCTTTTTACACAACTGTAATGGCTGACAAGTTTGGAGTATTTAACATATTATACGATATTAAATGCAAGAAGAAATAGGTATAATTTTAAAAGCAAGCCCTGAATGTTTGTTATGTTCCTCCAGTTCTACACATCCTCTGACTTTTATTGATGTAAAGTAAGAGTTGTTCTTGCAGTGAAGCAGCAATAAATTTTAGGGATTAAAAATGTGTAGAAACAGTACAGGAAAACACTATTACTGTTTTTTCCTTCTTTATTGGAAGTATGATGGATGTAGTATCTTCATGTTAGTGATGAATCCCTCGAAACCACCCTTTCCTTTTTATTGCAAAGGTAACAATATCAGATGCATTGAATTGAAGTCTCTCTTTGGCTGTATGTAAGCTACCAGCAGAAGTCTGAATTTCATGGATAAGTAGAACCAAACAAACACATCAACTCCAATAGATTTATAAGCATCCTGAAGCAGTTGAGAAAAATTTGAGCTGGTAGAGGAGTAATGGGATTTGGGGTTTGACTCTAATTTGAGAGCAAACTGTGACCAAAACACAGTCAAAGCCATTGATTTCCTTGGTAGGCTTGGTGTTATTACCTACTGGCTACTCTGTCCCTCTACTGCCTTCAGGGAGAGTTGAGGCACTTATGTAGTCATGGTACTCAGCCTCCAGATCCCACAACAGGCCTTGTTATTTTCTGCTTTACCATAGTGTAGTTTTCTTCACCATGAGGAAGTCAAAATGAAAGGAAGTAAATGTTCATGTGACATTTTCCCCTTACCCTTCTCCTACAATGAAAACTAATTTTAAAACTTCTTCAGAACTGCATGTTTATTTGACATGGACAGAATTTTATGCCATTAATACTTTTATCTGAATCAACCGTAGAATGAAAGAATAAAGTGATCTATGTAGCTACTCCAAACTTACTCCTCATTGCTAAAAGTAGGAATATTGACCAGCAAGTCCAAAGACTTCAAAAAAAGCAAGTCCAAAGTTATTTAAAAAAAATATTTATTCAAGTACTGAAACAATCTGAGGAAATTCAGTTCTGTTCACTTTCATTCCTCAATTATAAAAATATGTTGAAATAATCAAATCAATTAGCAGGCAGAAATTATTTGTTTTGCTTTGGCTAATGTACTGTTGAACATGTGTATTAGCTTTGGGACTTGCAACTACATGGAGTTAAGTATAATGAAAGGGTAAAAACTATGTCATGATAGAGTATTAGGATCAGAATGAAAGAAAACATTCTAGTGTCAGGTTTTTTTTTCCTGAGGCAAAGCTTTTGGCAAAAACTCAGCAGTATTTAAGATTGTAAGCCTAGTGTAAGGCTGAAAAAATACTCTGAAGAATGTGTATAGTTGTGTATTTGTTGTACAGTGAATTTGCATCAGTGAACGGATATCCCTGCAACCAGAAAGGAAAGTTTGCAGGTTTTGTCAGGTGTTGGAACTGGTTGGATGTGTCAATTTGCTGAGGAGGAGGATGGCTAAGGTAAAAAATACAAACAACGCAGAAGTGAAGACATGCAGTCTAGTAGCTGGATGGGTGACAGTTGGGTGCCAAGGGCCATAATCCTGACAGCCTGATCTGGAGAAACAAGTGGCTGTCGAGGTGTCAGGCAACCTCTAATTCTTATCCTGTCCCCATTGCTGCCTCTTAGTGGGCTTTTAGCCCTTTGTTGCTTTACTTGGTAGTGGCTCAGTTTTTCAGAAGCACAGCGAGGACAGTTCTATTTCCATAAATCTCCCATCAGGCCTTTTTGAGGATTCATTGATGATGCATAGCTCTTTTCATTCACAGCTCTCAAAAGCACTTCACCAAAGAAAACAAATTTTATTTCTCTACATTTTGCACTAGGGAAAAATGAAGCATAGAAAGATGAAGTGATTGTCCAGCATCTGAGAGTTAATCAATGGTACTCATAATATCAAAACCAGTTCTTATGATTTCCAGTCAGGGAACCACTCAGTCCCTTAGAGTTAATTAGCTAAAGCTGTTTTGCTTTAATTGGTCAGATGTATATCACTGCAATGAGCGTGTAGAAAAACCTAAGGGAAATGAATTTCTACAGTGCTGTGCTCTATAAAATGCTGTGTATGTGCTAAATGGGACGTGATACTGCTTAGCTGCTAAAATGATGGGCACTTAATATATGCTAAGATAGCTGGTATACCAGGACTGAGTCACAGTGGTTGTGCTCCGCTTGTAGGAATCCTGCTTCACTAGTAAAAAACATATGCACAGAAGACAGAATTTTGTTGCATTCTCTGCTAAGAATTTTTTATGAACGTTGTACTCATAGTGAAAGTAGAAGTTCTTCCATCCCCATTGATATCAACATCCCTCCTGATCATTACCCAAGACACCAGTCCCATTCCCCCTCCCATCCCATCCAGGAGCTGCAGATGGTGCAAAGGGGACCACAGTGGGGTGCAATGGCCCCATGAAAATTCAAGGTGTAGGAGATAGTGGCAAGAGCTGAAATGGGACCAGAATCTGAAGTTTGGGTTTGGATATATCAGTGTCATTATAGTGAAGATTAGCAGGAGGAGCACTGTTTTGTTGCTTCCCCATCTGACCTTCCCTTGTATCTGCTGTCTCAGGGCCTTTGCTGAAGATAGTAGCAGATTTTTATGTCTTTCAATGCATTCAGAGTGCATGTTACTGATACCAATCTAATGAGCAGCTCCTGGATCAGCGCTCTGTTCCACGCAGCTTCCCAGAGTGTGGTAGGGAGTGATAGCTTTGCGTGTCTCTCAGAGGCAGCTTGGTCAATGTCAAATTGCAAAGATGACTGCCCCTAACATGGGTACAAAATCAATAGCCTAAGGCTGTGTGGAGGTGACAGGCTGTATTATCTTTTCCACATCATTGGCAGAAGGGAACGTTCCCTCTTTAATGGAGCATGTGCTTAACTCTTAGTGGTATTTCAGAACTTCTTTTGTGCGTTGAACTCTGCTCCTATTGAAAAAGATCCTACAACAGGGGCCTGTGCAGGACATGTGTGTCACACTCAGGTGAACACCACAACTTTACTGATCTATATGTACTCCCATTGGACTTTCTCCCTCTCTGACTTGTCCTTGCACTGCCAAGATAATTATATTGTTGCACCTGCAACAGAACCAGGATTTCACTCTTTTTAGGCAGAGTAAGAGGAAAACTGCAAGTAAGTTTTATAAACTATTTTCTAATAGTGAGGTCTCCTGGCTGGCTCATGTACCTATGGCTCATGCACCTATGGCTCATGCTGCTCTGATCCAGTAAACTGGATATATATGGGCACTGAAGGATATGCCCATGAGTGCTGAGGGGTCTGGTTTAATGTCAGTGAGAGGCCAGTGGATGTGCTGAGAGTTTTAATGCAGCAACCTTTCCATTCATTCATCTTTTCTGTAATATCACCCACCCTTAAACACACACCAGTGAGAATAAATGTGTATTGTACTCATCACTTTAGCCAAGACCAGAAGTTTGTTACAAATTGCACAACTGAAAATAATCTCAGTTTGAAAAAACATGCAGGAAGAGTAATGAATGTTCAATAGAGAAAGAGATAGAAGATGACCAAGGTCTGTAAGGTCTATCCATAGACTCAGGGTTAAAGGAGTGAACACTAGGAAACCTGCTCTATCATAGAAATCTTACCTACTCCCCTCGGTCTAGACTCTCAAAAGTGTTTTGGATGTGTAAGAGCACTAGACTTATCAGTGTGACTTAGGCACTGGTATGCTTAATTCATTTTGTATAAGGGATTGAACTGAAACATAAAAATTTAGAAAATAGTATATTTGGGCCTCAGTTTCCCATCTGTAATATGGGTGACTGCACTGCCTTGCTTCATAGGGATAAACATGTCAGAAAATATTACAGAACCAAGAGCCCACATAAATAAATAGGGAGTCTTGCTTTGAAGTCATTGTGTGGTCTGCAGCAACAGGGATAGTCATGAATGATTAAGATGGACCATTACATAACTAAAACACTTTAATTCAAGTAAGCCATCTGGGGAGAGATTGTGGGTTTTTTATGTGTAGAGCACCCTACATGATGTGGGACCAAATGTCAGTTTTGGCCAGAGGGCATTGGTGTAATATATACATTTACTACTTTTTCAAAAGCGAATAAATCTGCAAGTGTTTTGTAGAACTTCCCAGGTCATACTGAGCCTGCTGGCTGTGTTTTGAATTAAAGCAGTGATGCAGCCATTAAAAAATGTGCATCTGAAGTGCAACACTGCCATTAGATTTATGTGAGATTTAGGTCTGTTTTATTTTGTGGTATTTTGTACTAAGAGTGATAAAAACAGCTGTACAAATTAAGAATTACTGTAGCACTATAGTTTCCCTAGCTTATAAATTCAGCACTGGGGAAAAAAAGTATTTTATATGTTTCTGAAAGCTTATTTTTTCCATATATATTTTATGTAGCAGGCAGTCTGAGCATTAAAATATGAATAAATGGCTCCACATCTCCAGTTTATTTAAACAATGGTGCC